GGCTTGTATGAGTCTGACTTTAGTGCTCAGTAGTATATCTTTACTCTTTTAGATCTTAATGTGGAAGTTGCTATTAAACATTTGCTACACAACTCTGGTGCTGTCTCAAAACAATCAGGTCCATTCCCTTCCAGAAGAAGTATGGAGAAAGCATTGGCATGGCTCTATGGTCCAGAATGATGCTCTGATACCCTTCTCAGCCATAGACAGCTACTGCCACTAACCTTTGCCAGTATCTGTAGGACCCCTAGCAGGAGCTACTGAATTTCTGGCCCACCACTGCCAGGAAGTGCATGCAGGGACAGCAGGGCTTGTGTGTTATGTTACACAGGTATGCAGCTGTGCAGGGCAGGATGAATGCTTTGCTTTTCAAATAAGAATTCTGCTCCCTTCCCATGAAATTTTGCTTCAGCCCCCAAATTTCAATCTTTTCAGAGAGTAAGACATTTCAAATAGTTCACATTTAGAACTCATATATGTTCTGTGTTCATATTCCTCTGGTAACTTTGCCTGATACTTTTTCTTTGAATGTTTATATTATTTCTAAATGTTCATCTGAAATGTAAAGTTACTGAATTGCTCAGAATTTGGGGGCTGAAGGAAAATGTCATTGTGGGGCCTAGGATACTTATTGAGGTCAATGCCTTCATTCACCTCCAGCCAGCTACCCATAACTATACCCCTGGACTGTACCCTCCCAAAATCCCTGTCCCTGCCAGATCTAACCTGGCCTTCTTGCATTGTGGCTGAAAAATTTAAAGACAGTTCTTTGAATATTCAACTGACAACTCTTAGAATCCACCATAACTGAATGAAAGTAACTCAGGATCCACCCATCAGCCTTTGGCCAGTTTAATGATGAATGTATGTGCATGTAGGTCTTTATACAGAAATAGAGAAGATATAAAGAGAAGGGATAAAACAAGCACATTTTAAATTGCTCAAGAGAAGCAGTAGAGCAGGGAAGCATTTTCTTCTGCAGAATTAGCACGAGGTGTTCCCTTCATGTAAGCATTATAAACATGATCGTTACATGCTATCAAATTACCAAGAGTTGTAGGAATCTTTTACCTCCAGTATCAGAGTGTATACAAGTTGCTGGAGGGCATGAGCTGCAGGGTGCTATTTAATTCATATTGCAGGTTCCCCATAAAAACCTCTTGGTCATAGTGCAAGTGAAATACTGTATTAAAAGTTTGGTTTCAGCCTGTATGACATTTCTCATAGTTGTTAGTTTAGCATAGCTATGCAGAATTTCTGTAATTTGCATGGGAATACCTAGGCACCAAATTTCCACCTAACTTCAAAATCCTTCATTTTTCCCTACAACAATTCTACAGTGAGCATTGTTTATATCATCATTATTGACAACAATCACATTGGTTCAATATATCTGCATTATTTCCCTAATTTCCTTTCCAATTAATTAATTAATTAAAACTCTGCAAGCCCTTCTATAAATTAATTCAAAGTGACTTGAAACAAATTTCAAAACAAAAGCACACCAGGAAAAACAGGTTGCATAAGAAAGAATCAGCTAGAATAAAAGTGACCTTTCTTGAAAAGTCTGCCTGAGCTTCATTATATTTGAAATTATGGTCCATTATTAAATTTAAGTGATACAATGTACTAATGTTTCTGTTATTTTTAGGTAGATTCTGAAAGTATCCTTCCCCCAACACACTGCTATTGCTTTCTATGATGAATTGGAAAGTTTAAGCTTGAGCATGATATATCTTTTCCAATCAGATTTATTTTAGTATGGTATCAGATAAGAGATGCTAACACCCCTTTGTTATTTGAAAGTTTGTTAATGCTGACAGGATCTACCTCAAGGGAAAATAGTAGAGGAAAATGAGCATCATTCCACTCCCAGGCCTCTAATATTCTCATGACTTAGCCCATCCAAACTGATTTCTATTACATGGTCCACCGACCTGAAGGAGACCTTAAGTTAACCTTGAGTTTGGGATGGCAGACGAAGCAGTTAATCATGCACAGAAGACTAAAACAAGGAGGTTGTGAAAAACAGAGAGGGATGAGCAACAAATGAACTTATTAAATGGTGCAATTTCACTACTGTCTAGCTAACAAAATATATAGGCTCTGTACATACACATATTTAATAACTTTTCACTCACCTCCTCCACAGAACACTGCACACATAATAGCCAAGTCAGACTGCTTGTGAGACCCTGAAAAACTTTAATTGACAGGTAAAAAGACAGGCTGGAGCTGAGAGTCCTTAGGTCAAGAAGAATAGCTTGTAGCCTATGGATACAATGTGGTTTAAAATTACATTAAGTATTTGTGGTAAATTTGTTAGGTGGAGTCCCTAGTGGATTCTGAAATGCTCAATGGAGCCATTATGAAACCATACTATTAGCTCTTTGTTCGCTTTCCTTTATGCTCCATCTATAAGAGACTGATACAGTGGCTATTAGTGATGGCTCACTTTAATCACTCTGTAGATTGGAATCCCTCTCCCTCTAAAAACTACTATGCTAAAACCCATTTTTAGATTTTAATCTTCTTTTCAAATAGAATTATGATTGCTGACTAACATTGCATTTTAACTGATTGAGGTTAAACCAAATATATCATGCTTGAATTCGGAGAGCTTGTGCACAGAACTTGCCTTCTCTCTATCCTTCATTTTTGAACTTCAGTGAATAACAAAGCAGTGTGATACAAGAAACTAAGGGCCTTTGCAGACTGCCAGAAATAGTGCAAATTGAG